TCAGTGCAGCCTATTAGTGCTAATCGATGCCACCCATCAACTGGTGCCGCTCAATCAGTAAAAAAAAAATAATATTTGGGTACAGAGTTGCATGACTGCGCAATTGCCATTCAAAGTGTGACAGCGCTGAAAGCGGATAATTGGCCTGGGCAGGAAGGGGGTGAAAGTGCCCGGTAGAGAACCTTTAGCTAATTTTACCTACAGTATAAAGAAAAAAAACAAAAAACAAAACAAAAAACAAAGCTTTAGCTCTGCTGCTTAACTGCAGCAGAGCTATAGTTTTTTTTGCTTCTACACATACTGGCACCACCGTGCATTCTCCGTGTGTAAACAGAGTGTGTCATGCATCTGTAAACGATGTATACATCAGGGCTACATAAGAGAAGGAGTTTTGTCGTTGAAAATAAAGCTTTGTTAGTTGGAAAAAAAAAAAAAAGACAAAACTGACTCCTAACTTTTTTAGCTGGCTAGCTCCTAGATTCAAAACAAATTTGTCAAGCCCTGCTGTACACTCTCACTGTATTAACAGTCAAGAGGTAAGTATGTGCCTAACTGTGTAGTATGTGTGGCTTTTACTAACAGGTCTTTCAGTTTCTCATTCCTGGTTTTCTTAAGCCTGGGTTCACACTGATGCGGTCCAGAATTCGCAGCGTTTTCTGTGGGAATTCCATACCGCATCAGAATTGCACCCTGTTCATGCGCTCTGCTGCGGGTGTGTATGTCAAGATAACAACACCCCAAAAATGGTCCGCAAAACGCAGTGCGTTGGGCAGAATCGGATTGTATAGGTGTGAATACCCATGCGATCTGATTCTACTGTGGACCCAAAAAAGGGTCCTGCACCTTTTTGGTGTGGATGCGGTGCGATTTGAGCCATATATAATGTAATGTAATTCGCATGTGACTTGCACAGGTACTGTGGTGGGGTTCCTGTGTGAATCACATGCGATGTACCGCACCCCATGAGTGTGAACCTAGCCTCAAGCAGATTAATCTTACACTGAACTGGCATTAAAAACATGAATTTGTCTGCATCTGAACTTCTATTGGAGAATCCAAGTAGCATATCAGTGAGGGATACCCGTTTCTTTCTAAAAGTGTAGGAAACCATTAACCTCTCGCCTACTCGGCACGTTATACCCCCTTCCTGCGCTGGCCAATTTTCAGCTTTCAGTGCTGTCGCACTTTGAATGACAATTGCGCGGTCATGCAACACTGTACCCATATGAAATTTTTATCACTTTTTTGAGACTATCAGATAGAGCTTTCTTTTGGTGGTATTTTAATCACCTCTGGGTTTTTTTTTATTTTTTGCTAAACAAACCAAAAACAACTGAAAATTTTGAAAAAAAAAAAACGTTTTAGTTTTTGTTTTAAAATTTTGTAAATAAGTGATTTTTCTCCTTCACTGATATGCGCTAATGAGGCTGCAGTGATGGGCACTGATAGGTGGCACTGATGAGGAGGCACTGGTAGGTGCACTGATGGGCATTGACAGGCATCACTGATGGGCACTGAAAGGCAGCACTCATATGGCACACTGGCACAGATAGGCAGCACTGACTGGCACAGATAGGCAGCACTGACTGGCACAGATAGGCAGCACTGACTGGCACAGATAGGCAGCACTGACTGGCACAGATAGGCAGCACTGACTGGCACAGATAGGCAGCACTGACTGGCACAGATAGGCAGCACTGACTGGCACAGATAGGCAGCACTGACTGGCACAGATAGGCAGCACTGACTGGCACAGATAGGCAGCACTGACTGGCACAGATAGGCAGCACTGACTGGCACAGATAGGCAGCACTGACTGGCACTGCTGAGATAGGCAGCACTGACTGGCACAGATAGGCAGATGACTGGCAGCAGCACTGACTGGCACAGATAGGCAGCACTGACTGGCACAGATAGGCAGCACTGACTGGCACAGATAGGCAGCACTGACGGGCACAGATAGGCAGCACTGACGGGCACAGATAGGGCACTGACGGGACAGAAGGGCACTGATAGGTGGCACTGAAATGGCAAGTCAGATGAGCACTGATATGTGGCATTGATGTGCACTGGTAGGCACTGATATGTGGCATTGATGTGGCACTGACAGGTGGCACTGATGGACACTTACAGGTAGCACTGGTGGGGTTACACTGATCATCAGGGCACACTGATCATCGGTGCCCTGATGATCAGTGTACATATCCCCTCCGAGGAATGCCGATTACCGGCTCGGCTCTCCTCTCCTGTCAGCGTGACAGCTCGTGAAAAGAGAAATGCCGATAACCGGCATTTCCCTATATATACATGAGATCAGTTGTGATTGGACACAGCTGATCACATGACGGAGCCGAAATCTTCGGCTCTTTCCGTTGATTGGTGATCCGCTGTGTCCGAGGGACACAGCGCACCGCCTTTCGCCGCGCACTCCCGGAGCCGCGCAGGCGCAGTTAGACTGGGAGGACGTCATATGACGTCCTCCCAGAACGAGAGAACCACCTTGCGTCCGTCATTTCCTTATATGTATCTAAAGCCCAAATTATATAGATTAATATAAGGCAAGTCCATCCAGTTCAACCAATAAAATAAATAAAGAGAAACCCTCCATACACTCAATCCTATACCCACAGTTGATACAGGGGAAGGTGAAAAAAAAAAAAAAAAAATGATGTTAGACTAGAACCTCTGTCACGTTTTGCGGTCTGTGTCACCATTGGAGAGATTTACCATCTCTATTTGTCCCTGTGAGTTCCTCACTGTGTGGAGCTCTCCTTTTGACACAGCCTATTTTATATATACTTTATTAAGCACCCGATAGTTTTAATAGTTTATTTTCTTTATACATGCTAGGAAAGAAGGTTTTCTCACATTATAAACGTAGCATATCAAACATTATGAAATACAATGTTGGTAAAAAAAAAAAAAAAAAAAAACCTAAAAAAATAAATTAATGAAAAATAACTGTAAAAAATTCCTAAGAAATGGCTGAATTTCAATAAGAGAGGTCTATGATGTACCATCTGGGCGGCACAGTGGCTTAGTGGTTAGCACGTCTGCTGTGCATTAAATGAGTCATGGGTTCAATTCCCAACCATGGAGCCTAATGCATGAAGTTTGCATGTTCTCCCTGTGCTTGCGTGGCTTTCCTCCGGGTACTCCGGTTTCCTCCCACACTCCAAAGACATGCTGGTATGTTACTTGGCTCCTGTCTAAATTGTCCTAGTTTCATCCCTGGCTTTGCGGGATCTCCTGCATGGTAGGGGTTGGGAAAGGATCTGGCAACCTACCCCTGTAAAATAATTGCTAAGTGAATTCATGGAAAAAGTTGCTTACGAGTGACCGTAAGCGACTTTTTCCATGAATTCAACTTAGGCCATGCAATCGCCGAGGGTCGGATACAACTGAATGGATAGATAGATGATGTACCATCACACTACATTATGTAAATCAATGTAATATAGCAATAAGTATATACTAACCAAGAGTATGTACAAATATGACAAAATGATCCCTTTATCTTCAGAACTGATCCATGTTACAATGGCAGTCAGAAAACATGTGAAAGGACAGATAGGTCTAACAAGCAACAGTGTTATAAGAAATGGAATGTAATATACCAAAAATAAGCAATTGTTCTTGCTACACCTATGATCCCGTGGTTCTGGAGATGTTAAATGTTAAAGCAGGATTAAACCCAAAAGGCAAACATTTATTATATTGCAGCTTACCAGTTCTTAGATGTGATGGCTGCATTAGTTTTCTTTTTTAGGCTTTCTTTCTTTTATTTTCCAGCCAGTAAGTTTGTTGCTTTTCAACAGAACATGCTGTTCTGCAAATGTAGCAGTTACAGGGTTGAGACAAACAATTTTCTGACCAGAGTGCTTACAATGATCAGCTTTTTATGTAAACCATTTATCCCAGAAGGGAAAACATCTATTTGCTGTAATTGCTTATAAAGTGTTAGCTCAATGTGTTAATGTATCTAAATTTTCTAGTACATCAAACACTTCCCTCCTCCCAGATTGACAATGCTACTGTCCAAAAGGTGCCCCCTGTGCTCCTTCATTCAGAGTGGGGGCACTCTAATACAGGAGGTGTGCTACTGGCCAGATCACCATGGTTTTACATTTAATACCGCTTCAAGTTTTACTTGTAATTTGTAGTCTGCAATTGTATATACAGTACTATGAATTCCTTCAAGGGCTGTAGTGGACCATAACAGATGGGAAATGTTCAGTTTCTCTGATATACGGATATTCACTGTTATATGTATATTTAAAAGTTACAAAACTAAGTGACATATATGTAGACTACTGAATACAGTACTGTCTAGGTTTTGTTTTGTCTTGTTGGAAATACACCATTAACCTCTTGCCGATCACCTAAAGTGTAAGTGCAGCGGCAAGAAAAATGGGTCCTAATGTCCGCACAGTGATCGAGTTGTCAGATAGCTCCCAATCACGTGACCATTGTGACAGCCAATCACTGGTCTTATGACTAGGATGTCTAGCACATTATGCAGGACTTACCTTGAAATGAAGCCCTCCAGCAGAGCACTGTCAGGGCTCCACATGGCTTCCATCTTCACACTGTCTTCCTTCCGGGTTCGCAAGCTCTGATCGTCTGACTGGCCGAACTGCAATGATGTCACTCCCGCGCATGCGCACGGGAGTCCCGGGCCAGGGCACAGTGCTCTTAAGGAATGGCATGGATATGCCGTTTCTTCAGAGCACATGCGCTGGGTATCAAAAAAAGCCAATATCTCCTAAAAGGTGGACGTCTAGGAGATACTAATTTTACCTACAGGTAAGCTTTATTAGATTAAATTGAAAAGTATGGGAATCAAAAATAAACCTCACACATTGAAACTAATCAAACATCTCTGAACATCTTACTCACAGTAGCTTCTTCCCTTCCTAGCAGCACATTTGCAACAACTTTGCCTGTCATATACAACTTTATCAAAACCTCCTATAGTCAGAACAAAGGGAAATACTCACGTGGTTGGCAGTTACAGCAAAAAACTGCAAGTTCTGGAGCTGGCCAATTTCAGCCGGGATGCTTGTTAGGGTATTGTGGCTCAGGTCTAGATGTCGCAGCTTTCGACAGTAGCACAGTTGTGGTGGTATTTTATCAATTTTGTTGCGGTTAAGATACAGGCGCTCAAGGCTTGCCAGATTGCCAATCTGAATGGGTATGTAGGCAATATGGTTGTACCAGAGCTTCAAGCAAGTGAGTCTATGTAGGTGCTGGAAGCTGATGATTTCCTCAATGGTTTTTAAATTGTTGTCTTTCAAATCGATTTCCTGAAGATTGTGAAGACTAAAAATGGAGTGTGGGATCCTCTCCAAGTCACAGCGTACCAGTTCTAGCTCAGTTAGGTTCACCATTTTTTTAAGACTGTTGAGAACCATTAATTTGGTGCCTTCATTGTTTACTGAAAGCTTCTGCAGATGGACACCTACATCAGTCACCACCTGGGGCAGTTTGGTAAGGTTACTCTTCAGTCTCAACACTTTCAACCTCTTAAGTTCACGGAGACCATCTATGACTATATATCTATTGTTTTCAGCGCTCAAGTTCCCAGTGAGGTGCAACTCCTCAAGGTTTTTTAAACTATAGATCCATAAAGGAATCTCTTTAATATCTGTAAATTTAATGTGTAGAGATTTGAGATTTTCTCTGAGAAAAGCCAAGGCTGGAGACTCAATTTTAGCTGCTGTGTGGTATAACCAGAGTTCTTTCAAGCCTGTGAGCTGGGCAATACTAGGTGGGATGGTCACATCAGGTATTAGTTCCAGCTTGAGCACTTCCAGCTCCACAAGGTCAAACACAGTGTCAGGTATCCCGCTAAGCATGAAAAGATGAAGCTCAAGTTTCTCCTGGGAATTTTTGGTGATGCGTTGGCGTAGTTTGTCCAGTGTCCATTCATGGTTGAGATTGAGTTGCCTCAATTTGTTCTCGCTGACTTCAGACAAAAAAACAGCAAAACGTTTAGAGTAAAGTGGGTCATATTGATCTATGAGGTGTAGCATGAAAGCAAAGTCATTCTTGACATCTGGAATGTCACTGTAGCTGCTCTCTTCACGAATGGATTCAAAGGAATATTTTTTCAAGGATCGTCTTAGCATCCACCAGAGGGTGTACACACAGACCAGACCATAAAAGCCCACAAGGCTGATGTAGAATGAGGCCAAGATTTTAAATAAGGTGGCAAGTGGATGGGCACATCGGTACATTCGATAGCCAGTGAGGCTCTCAATGTCCACCTTACAATCCACATCAAAGGTGATGCTGCTAACATAGTACACAGTGTAACAGAGAATCAGAATAAATTTGATAACTTTGATGATTGTTTGCCGCATATAGAGCCTGTAGACTATATCCCCTTCTTCCACATGAGTCCTAAACTTTTTCACCTTCTCAAATAATGCTTTGGCCTGCTCACCCTCCTTCTTATCGAGCACCCCCGTTTCTGACCTGTCCACAATTCCTTGCTCCACTCTGGATTTGCTCCTCTGCAGCATGGGTACAGTTGCTTCTACATCTTCACTGGCTGTAGAAGACTTTTTGTCAACTGAACCATTCATCTTTCCACCTGAAGGTTTAGGATCACTCTCTTCCACCACAGTCTCTGACAAGGCCCGAGTAGTCCAAGGCGAGTCAAAACATTTTAGCAGGATAGAGACAAAATGCTCTAGTTTGGAGCTGGTCCGAGGAAACTTGAACCAGAAATTGCTACATGCCAGGAAGATCAAAGTGTGCAACAACACTAGATAAGGAAAGTATTTTGCAAACCAATGTAGACGGTTTTCATAGCACACAGCATCCACATAGTTGTACTGATGTCTATCCAAGTCATATTTTATGCCTGTGGGGCCTAGTGTTTCTGGAGGCACCATGCTAGAGTTTGGATATTCAGGTTCTGCAGGTGCCCAGGCCCGGTAGGAATCATTACAGCTGTCATGTGTGACCCATTTACAGGGAAGGCAGATCATCTTATCCTGGGTGACCTGCAAGGTGCCTCCAAACACTGCTATCATAAGCATGACAATGGAAATGTAGTCTGTGAATACATCCCACCAGGGCTTAAGGATTCTGTAGGCTGGCTGTGTGTCAGCAAAGTACCGCAGCTCTGTCACTGGAATCATGGCTCACCTGGTAACAAGAAAACAGAACAGGTTTCACTAATAACCAGAATCCCAGAACATAGGTTTAACATGTATTTATAATCAGCAGAGGACAGGTAAGGACAAATCACTACAAGAGGAAGACAAGATTAATTATATCTCACATAGAAAAAAATCCTGCAAAATATCATTCCCAAAGTGGATTTACTCACCCCCACAGGAATACAAGGGACGCACTGATACTTTCACAATGATCTGTTCTGTTCCTGTGAAAACCCTAAGCTACTCCATTTTTTTTAAGGAGAAAGTTAAAAAATAGGCAGCATTTGGTAGTCAGACAAGAATAAATCGTGGTTTATTTCCCTGTACAATACAATTTGTGCTAGGGAAATAAGATAATCTTTATAATATATTCCACCACATGCATGATTTAAACACAAGTTCCAGACAAATACTCCCTTTACCTGCGGCAATAGGGACAAGATATTTTCCTTACACAATTTAATGTATGTTTAGGACTGTGATTAAAGCAGAGCGCCAGTTAAAAATATAAAAAATAAAAGTCAGCAGCTACAAAAACTGTAGCTGCTGACTTTTAACCACTTTCCTACCGGGCACTTATACCCCCTTCCTTACCAGGCAAATTTTCAGCTTTCAGCGCTGTCGCACTTTGAATAATTGCGCGGTCATGCAAATTGTACCCATATGAAATTTTTATCATTTTTTTTCTCATAAATAGAGCTTTCTTTTGGTGGTATTTAATCGCCTGTTTACTTTTTGAGCTATAAACAAAATAAGTGCAAAAATTTTGAAAAAAAAAAGAAAAAAGGTTTTTGTTTCTATTATAAAATTTTGCAAACAGGTAATTTTTTTCCTTCACTGATGTGCGTTGATGAGGCAGCACTGGTGGGCACTGATAGGCAGCACTGATGGGCACCGATGGGTGGCACTAATGAGGTGGCACGGAGAGGCGGTACTGATGGGTACCGACAGGCGGCACTGACTGGTGTCACTGCTAGGCATTGACTGGCGCAAGTGCTGGGCACTTACTGTTGGCACTGACTGGTAGCACTGCTGGGCTGCACTGGTGGGTGGCACAGGTGGGTGGCACTGCTGAGCACCGATCATCAGGGCACTGATCTTCAGTGCCGATCGCTGCTCTGACAACTGCCGATTGTCGGCAGTACTTTCCTCGCGCTCTGACAGCGTGAGGAAAGTGCAGCTGAGAACCGGCAATTGCATTTCACTGTGATCAGCATGTCATTGGACACAGAAGATCAAATGGTAAAAGGCCGCTGTGATTGGCCTTTTACCATATCACTTGATCATGGAGATCACCAGGGGCGTGCAGGAGAGCGCATTCTGGGAGGACGTCATATGACGTCCACCCAGAACTGGCCGGCCGCAGTGCAGCAGTCATTCGGCTATCTGCGGTCAGCAACTAGTTAAAAAAAAAAACACACTTACCTGTCCCCCGAAACAGCTGTGTCCTCACCGCAGCCAGTGTCACCAACCATTCTCTCTCCTCAGCGCCGGCATCTTAAGTGTGGGCACGTGGCTGTAACAGCTTGTGGCTTCTCAGCTGGGTGACCACTGCACATGCGCGAGTAGCACTATGCCTTGTAAATGGTCACATAGTCTTCTGGGACCTGTCACGTGGAGGACAACTTCCGCTTCTGATTGCCTAGGCAATCACAGTGAAGTAGGAGCGGATATGAAGCCTTAAGCAGAACTTGCACTTTAAGTGGAGCTCAACCGAAAAGTGGATGTAAATCCAAACAATGAATTTCTCTTATTTCCTTTCGATCTGTTAAAAGTGATTGTACAGGTAAAAAGAAAAATCACTACTTACCTGCTCTTTACAATGGTTTTGCACAGAGCAGCCCGGATCCTCCTTTTCACAGGTCCCCCGCATGCACTCCTGGCTCCCCCCCCCTGCCGAGTGCCCCCATAGCAAGCCGCTCCCGAGCTGGCTCATAAGACACACAGAGCATGGCTCAGTCCTAGCCCCCACTCCCTTCTCACTGGCTGTGACTGACAGCAGCAGGAGTCAATGGCTCTCGCTGCTGTGTCTGAGCCAATGTGGAGGGAAAGAGCCGAGAGAGCCACCGCTCTTGTGCACATCTCTGGATCGGGCTCAGGTAAGTATTAAGGGGGGCTGGGGAGCTGCACACTGAAGGTTTTTTACTTTCATGCATAGAAAGCATTTTGTAATATCAGTCTGAAAATTTCAAAACCATGTCTGATCAGTGTATGCTTTCTCATTATCTGTTAAACCCAAATCTTAGGTTACCAAATGATGGCAAAAAATGACATTACCTGCAGCTCTGAGTACCTTGCTGTATAAATTCTCCTTACAGGTATCTCTATCAAATGATTATTAATTTCATGACTATTAAAGCATACCTATGGTCAAAAGTTTAAAATCATACATTTGTTTAATTATTTCTAGCCTACTCCTATTATTCTGAAGTTGGTAAATTTACTTTATGAAGATCCCTACACATTTACTTCCTAGAATGTGTGGATGGGTGAATCAAGCCATTTTTTTTGTTCAATCCCATTGGTTGAACGTAAAAAAAAAAAAAAAAAAAAAAAAAAAAAAAAAAAAAAAAAGCTTAAGGTGCACCTTCCCAATATAGCAGATATTCCTTACAACCACTATGTCTCGGTTACCTTCCTCTTTTTATATGTTCCTTTAACATACAGTTCTTGTACATGGGAATTTTAAGCACATTTTTCCCTATCGTAATTGAACATTACATTTAGGGCTACAGCAATATCCCCTATAGAATTGTTGTTTTGAACATGATCAAGACAAAAGTATGTTGTATTCCTTTGTGGAATTTAAAGAATATATGGGAAAATGTTTAACAGCACTGAGTGCTCCAAAATGGATATGTTCTAAACATCAGCTTCGAAGATCTCATTGACAGGAAGTCACACGCTGATGCTGGGAAATTAGAGGCCTATTGTCAAGGGGCTGTGTTACGGTTAACCAATGCATTGCTGAAAGTTTAATAGAACAATACAACACTAAATGCCTAGGGTTCAATACCCAGCAACCCTCCAGATCTAAAGGGCAGACACTAAGTCCAGGAAGCCATAATTCCCAACAAAGTAAAGTGAAACTTTAGTTAAAACTTTTTTCAATTTGAAAATGTAATGTGGAAAAGTTAGAACTTCTGTTAGTAAGTGAAGAGTAACCTCCCAGCAGGGACAAAGACAGCAATACAAATCTGACAGAGGTTCAAAGATTTCCACCCTCTCTAGCTCAGTGGTCTCCAAACTGCATCCCTTCGCTTTCCTTTATCTGGCCTTTGTAACATCATTTCTCCCACTGATTTGAGGCAATATTCCTTCCCCCGCCACCAAAAATGTGTTAATATTCTTCCACTGACACCAAAGATGGGACACGAATTCTTCTCACTATGGAGATATTACCAACACACCATGGATCTTCAAGTTGCGTCCAAATGTTTTTCTTTTGGAAGCATGATCGCATCACAAACAAGACATACCTGACGAAAGGGTCTTGCGTGACTCCAAAACGTTGCACTCTTGTGATGGAATCATGCTTTAATAAAAATCATTTAGACTAGGGATGCACCGAAACATCGGCCACAAAT